TGAACATTCCAAAGGGCAGGGGAGTGGGAGGGAAAAGGAAGCAGAAATAAATTGTAAACAGTTACAATCATGTGACTTTCCCCTTAGCAACTGTGTCATTTAAAAATAAATAACTAGTCCCAACACTGGTCACTAAATGAGGATTACTTGTATCTAAAGCCAGGAGGGCAGAAAGTGGGTATGGATGGATGATCTGAAATGAAGAAGTATTGAACAGAGAAAATACTTCTTACATCCATTCCAAATTCTGCACTATAAAGCAATTTTTAAAATCTAAAAAGGGAATTAATTGTCTGAGTTCAACTACATGGATAAAAATGTTTTTGTGGTTAATTTTTAAAATCTGCTCTGGAATCCTTGAAGATGTTTTAAAAAGTATTACATATCAACATTATCCATAATCTTAGTATCTTGTAGATACAATTCAAAAGGAAATGGGGCTAAGGGGTAGAATATAGAATAATAGGCTGGAAGGGACCTCAAATGTCTTCTAGCCCAACCCCTTGCTCAAGGCAAAATAATTTATATCATCCCAGGTGAATAGTTGTCCAGTCTCTTTTTAAAATCTCTTTTAAAACCAATGCTGGAACACCCACAACTCAAGCTATTCCATTGATTAATTATTCTCATTATCAGAAAAATTCTCATTTTTTCTAGTTTGAATGTCTATGGAGATTCTTAATCATGCAGGACATGATTTCCCCAAAGGTGTTTTTCAAAGGGACTGTCTTTGTTTTTCCCTGAAGAAGTTCCAAGAAGCCTTTTCAGTTCTTCAGCAGTTCTTGCCTTTGAAAAAAAACAGCTCTAAATTCTAGGTTGAATCTCTCCGTAACAAGCTTCCATCCATTACTTCTTATCCTGGCCGCTGGTGCTTTGGAAAAGAAGTCAATCCCCTCTTCTCTGTGACAGAAAATAATCATCATATTCCCCCAATCCTTTTCTTTGAAAGTTCCCTCAAAGGCAAAGTCAATGTTGGGTCCACAGGTAGTGTACTTTCATCATAAGATTTAGCTTTCAGATCCTTTATCATCTTTGTTGCTCTTCTCTGCACACTTTCCAGGGCCTCAGTAACTTTTCTGTATTATGATCGCCAGAACTATTTGTGGTATACTTTGTATACAAAGTATATATGCTGGCAAAAAATAATTTCAGCTACAAAATCTTTTTCAATATCATCTGATAATTATATGTCAGATTAGGTTTACGAGCTAATAAGGATACACATAAGTCAAATTGATTAAGGCAGCAATTGTTTCTATATAGTTTAATAATGGAAATCCATTATGAGCTAAGCATGAAACGTATTTGAGAATAACTCACCGATTATTACTATAGGCAAAGTCAATGTTGGGTCCACAGCTAGCGTACTTTCTTGTAGTAATGGCATAGTTTTAGCGTTGGTCCCAAGATTGTCACCAAAATACTGCACTAAGGAATCCAAAAAACATCCTTCAGTTTCTGGACTACTGTAATTTCTATTTAAAAGGAAATGAAACAAATCATTATTATAAAACATCCTTCACTGTAAATACTTCTTTAACTCAAACTGTTTGTAAACATAGTATTTTAGCCACATGTAAGTTATTTTTTCTTCAAGAAACATATGAACAGTAAGGGTGACAGATTGTTGAGATTTTAACCTTGAACAGGTTGGTGAATGGTCATTTTTAAAATTAGTGAATACCAAACTATACATCAAAATATCTATCAACATAATCCTTGCTTAAAGGATTCTTTCGGGTTTTTAAATAAATAACATACCTAGATCCACAAACAAAGAGAAAAGAGGGGAGTGGGGGCGATTTCACCAATTCAATCTGGACCTGTTTCTTCCCTCTCCCTTCCCATTTGAGGGGCAAGTATAATAGAAATGTCTTTTTTTTTAAAAAAGGCATTTGAATGCATAGCTTCGAAGCATAAATTTTTAAACGGATATGTTACACACATGCGCGTGCCGAAAAGAGGGAAGTGACAGAATGAAATACGATTTATACGATTTGTCTTATGCCTTTTCAACCGATAGACAAAACGCAAACACAACGCACCGCAACACAACACAAACACACACGTTTCCGAGCGCGTGCAGCCGAGGCCGCCGCTTCTCTGCCTCAGCCGCCCATACCTCCCCCCATCCCCACCACCTCGTGTGCGGCCGGCCTCCGCCAGGATGCTCCGGGGCGCCTCGCCTCCTCTCGCCTCCCATCTCTCGGCTTATTTTCCCCGGCCAGCTTCGCCGGGTTTGGATGCCCCTCGGTTGCCAGGGCGGGAAGAGTGGGAAGCCGGTGTGTAGCCGGGGCGCCACGCTCGGTAGCCGAGAACCCGACTGCGGCTCGAACCGCTTACCTGAAGCGGCTGGTTAAGGAGCAGCGGCAGCACCACACTGTCATGAGGGACTGAGGAAAAAGGACGTCGAGAGATGGAGATGCGGCGGCGGCCGCTGCGGTTCCCGCCGCCTCCGCCTCCTTCCTTTCTTCTGCCGCTGCGCTGGGGGCCTCTGTCGGTTGTCGCTGCCTCCTCCCACTCGCATCTCGCCTCGCGAGCGGCGCTGTGCCACAGGAGCTGGGGGGGGGGGGGGGGGGGGGGGGC